TTGAATACTCAGCGAGCTTTCAGTCTGGTGAGAGGATCAGGGACCCAGTCGAGACTTCTGCGATGGCACCCCCGAATGCAACCTAGCTGCGTTGCACCAGGACCGACATGTCGCACGTGCAAGCTGTCGGGTTCTCAGTAGTCCGCAGTTGGCTTCGAAACTTATATGAATCACTTTCCAACCACATCAGGTCATCGCAGAAGCACAGGCCATGTCCAACCAGGGAGTGGCCACGGAAGCGATCATGGCCGATGCAGGGACCTAAGACTGCGGCATAAGGTTTCACTTGGCGGCTTGTCAGGATGGGGAGCATGATGTCCGCGGAGGAGGAGAACATTGGCAGACCTTTCAGAGCAAGGCGGGCGGCTACGTCATGACGGCAAATCTGTCCGGATCATCGAGCTTTCCCTGCATAGGAGCGACGGACGCTATTATTGGCGCTGGGGTCAATAATGGTACTATGGTACATGTACGATGGCGTGAAGCCGCCCTGTTTTAGTGTGGTAAGCTGCTGTGCTAAGGCTTCGTACCTCTGGATTGGACAGGTGCAGACCTGCTGTCGCTTCGTGCGCGGCTGGATTGCCTACGATCCCGTGGGAAATACGACCGACGACTGCGCTCCAGCCTCGGAGCTAGGCGAGAAAAAAAGGAGGAGCCCCAGAGCTTAGTGGGAGCCAGAAGACTCAGTAGCTGCTGCGGGGAACCCTCTCCATAGGAACATCCAGCTCCACTTGCGGTCGCCGCTGCCTAAACGATTAAAAAAAAAAGTTAGGAACCGAGATATACTCGAAACATGACGGCACAGCCGCCTTGGGCTCAAGTTTCCGACCTTCCCTTCCTCACAGCCTCAGTCCGACTCGGCCGAAAACATGCCCTCTAAGGCTTTGCTGGCGACTTCCTTAGGTGGTGCTCTGCGTCCACTTAGCTTCCCTGGCCAGGTCATTGAGTACCAGCGGAAGCAGAATCTGCGCAACCTCCGGCTCCATGATGCTCGGGGCTCAGTCAAGTTCTGGCAGGTTATCCGCCAGCAGCCCTGTCGGACAGGCGACCGTGAAGCAATTCAATCGCGTGTGGAAAGAAGGGACTAAGAGGACAAAAATCGGGGCTGCGATCGAGGCTGTCCAGTTTCGTTGCCCGCATGGACTAGCTGCTAGCTACCAGCAGTTGTACTCCGTCAGGTCATGGCGATGTATCCTGCCCGGAGCCGCCTCTACAAATTCGCGCAGCAGGTGGTGCAGCCGGGAACCCAGCATATATTGAGGCAAAGGCCGGCACCGAAATATGTCGGATCGAGCCCTGCTCGACAGAAGCCGCCCTGGTGCGAGGAATTGGGAGAATCGCCCCTTGAACGATGTGCCCTGGACTCAGCGCAGACGGCGTCTCAGCCGTTCGTGCGAGGCACGCTGGCGTCCAAGGTTAGACGACATCATAGAGGATCTAGAGGGGCAGCCGTCGGAGGAGGACGATTGTTCGTAGTAGCTTGCAGCAATGCGTGCGCTAGCTGAAGCAGACGCTCGCACGGGCAGTCGGCAAAAAGAGGAGGAGCCCCAGAGCTTAGTGGAAGCCCGAAGACTCAGTGGGTGCTGCAGGGAACCATCTCCAAGTGTCTGCCCGAGTCTTCTAAACCATAAACGCTTGTAGTTTAAGCCCCCGGGATTGGATCGAGTCCGGAAAAGGCCGATGTGAGGGTCCCGAAAAAGGAGCAAACAATCTCGTTTTTGCAAGGAACCGCACGATTCCACGGCAAAAACGCGGTCGTTTGCTCTGGTTCGTTGCTGCTACAAACACAAGTACTCCTATTAATAGGAAGCCTAGACACGGACAGAAATCACTAGGAGAATGGTAACTAGCCGCAACTTCTCCATCACATGCCTGCAAGCTCGTGGCTC